CAGAACTACATTTAATTTTACTTTTTTCTTTTCTTCCTTTGATTTTCTTTTTTTTTAAGATTTATTTATTTACTTATTTATTTATTTATGATAGACACACTTACTTACTTACTTATGATAGACACACACACAGAGAGAGAGAGAGGCAGAGACACAGGAGGAGGGAGAAGCAGGCTCCAGGATCACGCCCTGGGCCAAAGGAGGGCGCCAAACCGCTGAGCCACTCAGGGATCCCCTCTTTCTTTTATTTTCTAAGTCCCAATTCAGATTCAGTAACTATAAACACTACTCATGCTACTGTGAGGCACTCTGAGAGACTTTTTCACACCTCTTATCTTACTGGATGTAGAACCAAAAGATGTGTGTTTGGTTTGGGGTTCTGTCATTTAATCACATGGCCTTGAGTAAATTTGTCAAATGAATAACTCAAAAGTAACTCAAAAGTTAATGAATTTGACCCTGATGACAAAACTATGGGGCAGAGCCAGGATTCAAACTGAAGTCTTCTCATTTCAGGGTGCCTGGGATGGCTCAGTCAGTTAACTGCCTGCCTCGTGGTTTCAGCTGAGGTTCTGATCTCAGGGTCATGAGATAGGGAGCCCTGCATTGGGCTCCACACTGGGTGGGGAGTCTGCAAGAGACCCTCTCCCTCTCTCTGCCCCTCCTACCACTTGTGTGCTTGTTCTCTCTTTCTCAAATAAATAAATCTTTAAACAACAACAACAACAACAACAACAAAAACAACAGGATGCCTGGTTGGCTCAGTGGTTGAGCATCTGCCTTTGGCTCAGGTTCTGATCCTAGGGTCCTGGGATGGAGTCCTGCACCGGGACCCTTGCAGGGAGCCTGCTTCTCCCTCTGCCTACATCTCTGCCTGTCTCTGTTTCTCTTTCATGAATAAATAAATAAAGTCTTTAAAAAATAAATTAAAAAAAAAACAACAACAGCAGGAGTCTTCTTATTTCACTCTGGCGTATTTTTTCCTATTTTATCAGCATGACCCAAAAACACTTACATACCAGGGCATAAGGAGAACTCAAAAATACTTCTCTCAAGATACTAACTTTACTATATGGCTACTGATAAATGTAATGAAGAAAAGAAAACAAACAGCAATAGAACCTTAGCTTCAAAGGCAGGGATGAGGGACAGCCAAGGCAAGAATTTAAAAACAGCAGCCAAGCAGCAGTGCTGAATCTCAATAAAGGTTTCTGGAACTCATGGTCCCACAATCTCCCCTGGGAGTAATTTAGTTTGGGGAGAGAAATACTAGAATATCAACATAGAATAAGCTGCAGAGGAAATCTGTCTTCCATATGATTCATGATGGCTGAAGACAATGTGCTCTGTCCTCCCTTACTACAATCCTAGCACCAGCTTAGAAGAGAAAGCTGTGCATCATTATCCTCCTGAAGGAATGCAATGGCAGGAGCCCCCCTTGTAGTCACTGAGTCCCATGAAGTCACACAACTAAGCACTTTGATCTTTGACAAGAAGGGTGCTAAGCACTAACATAATCAGTCTTTCTTTCTCTTCTCTTCCCCGTTTATTTTTTTCACTATGTTCATTTGATCCTTTTTCATGTGTCTATAGACTATTTTGTAGCTTTCAAAAATCATTTTATTTTTGGCAGAACTGCTTTATATCTATAGAGGAAAAAAGATTCTTTTTGTGGATGGTGAAGGAAAAATTGGAGAAAAAAAGTTAAAAGTTGGGGCACCTGGTTGGCTCAGTCGGTTGGGGGTCCTGGCTTCAGCTCAGGTTGTGGTCTCGGGGTGATGGTCTCAAGGTTGTGATGTCGAGCCCAAATCAAGCTCTCCCTCTTCTCTGCCCCTCCCCCTGGCTCACATTCTCTTTCTCAAATACATAAATAACATATTTTTTTAAGTTAAAATTTAATTCCACTACCACCTCCTGCCATATTTTAAAATTAAAGTAATCCAGGGGTACCTGGGTGGCTCAGCCAATTAAGCTTCTGAATTTAGCTCAGGTCATTATCTCAGGGTGCTGGGATGGAGCCCTGCCATCATGTTGGGCTCTGTGCTAAGCAGGTAGTTTGCTTGTCCCTCTGCCCCTCCCTCCAGCTCTTACGTTCTATCTCAAGTAAATATTACACATAAAATCTTAAAAACAAAATAATCAAATCATCCAAATTTGCTGAGAGAAAAGGAACAAATAGAGATGGGGAGGAGGAACCACCATTCAATGCTGCTTTTATAGGAGATGATCTTATAGTGAGCACTCTGCCACTGAGAACCACGCAAGATTACTAAATAATGGTAAGAGCCATACAGATTAGCTCAGATGCAGACAAATGTCAATACATGTACAAGCATTTACTGAGCACGTACTAGGCCAGATCATTAAATTATTATGTGACTACTATTATCTGATATCTTTGAAAAAAAGAATCAAATTGTCAGGATGCACAAAGAGCTAACAAAATCAAATTTAAGATGACAGCTATAATGAAACCACCTCATGGCCACTTCAAAGATAATACCATAAGAAGAAAAAACCTAATCAGTAAGGGTTCTAATCACATCCACAGTGAAAAGCAGACATGGAATTACCATCAGCATTCCAGATCTTCTGTGCCTAGGAAGAGGCAGTGACAACACAGTTACACATCTCCAGAAAGTGTGTGATTATAAACCTAGTTAAGTACATTCACTGGATCCAGCTGGAATTATGTGAGACAACTGGTTCCTCTAAAAAGCTTAAAACAGAGGCTCCTGGGTGGCTCAGGTGGTCAAGTGTCTGACTTCAGCTCACATCATGATCTCAGGGTTCTGGGACAGAGAGCCATAAAGGGCTGCTCCCTGCTCAGCAGGGAGTCTACTTGTTCCTCTCCCTTTGCCCCTCTCCCTGCTCAGGCTCCCTCTGTCTCTGTCTCAAATAGGTAAATAAAATTTAAAATGTTTTTTTGATTTTTTCAAAAAATAAAAAGAGTAAATAAAGTAGTATAAAATGACTCCACAGAATCTGAAGAGCCACTAATATTTAAATATATTCACTTGAAGCAAATATACCAAAACATATTAAATAACCAGAGTTATGTCTCACATATTTATTTATTTTAACTTCAACTCTACTACACTGCTTAAAATCAGGTACCTTAACCAATGACACATTATAGAAACAGGAGGGAAAAGGACGCCTGGGTGGCTCAGTGGCTGAGCATCTGCCTTCGGCTCAGCGTGTGATCCCGGTGTCCTGGGATCAAGTCCCACATCTGGCTCCTTACAAGGAGCCTGCTTCTCCCTCTGCCTATGTCTCTGCCTCTCTCTCTGCATCTCTCATGAATAAATAAAATCTTAAAAAAAAAAAAAAGAAAAAGAAAAGAAAGAAACAGGAGGGAAAGAACATATACAGCAAGAAAAGAAAGAATGCCAGGATCAAGACACTTGGTCTTAACAGTTTAATGGCTCAATACATCCATCCAACCTTCCATTAACTTGCTTTGCTCAGCATCTCAAGTTTAAGACTAGAAAGTTATTGCCACAAAGACATAAAGAACTTGTGGGAATTTTGGAAGACCTTATAAAACATCAGAAGAATGCTTGAAATTTATCTAAAGTCCTGTAAGAAGCCAATCTACCACATATACTCCTTCCTATACAGCAGGGATTGGCAAACTATGACCCCTGAGCCACATCTGGTCTACTGCCTGTTTTTATACAGTGGAGAACTAACAGTAGTTTTTACATTTTTAAATGGCTAAAAAAGAAATCAAAAGAGCAATATCTCCTGTGGAAATTAAATGAAATTCAAATTTTAGTGTCCATAAATAAAGTTTTATTGGCGTATACCACCTCATTTATTTACATATTGTCTAGGACTTTTGTACTATAATGGCTGAGCAGAGTAGCTACACATGGGAGACCATATGAAAGACGATCTGGCCCAAACCTGCCCTAAAGGTTGCTACTAATTTGCCTTGAAATAACTGGCTTTAGTTATGTAGCTTTGCACAAGAGACTCCAGATGGTTTTACCGAATACCATCTGAGCAATATAAAAGAGAAATTATTTTATCTCATTATAGCTAAGCTAAAAGCAAGCAAATCCCTATGACTTATTTTTTTTCCAACTGTATTCTTTAGAAAAAGAAAGTAGTCTTTCACCCTTTACTCTTTCTAGTTGGGAAAGAGTTAAAAGATTATTACTTGTCTTACTTCCTCTACCACTTAAGAAGCCCAAAGTCAGGGCGCCTGGGTGGCTCAGTGGTTGAGTGTCTGTCTGCCTTTCGCTCAGGTCATGATCCCAGAGTCCTGGGATCAAGTTCCACATCAAGTTCCCCGCAGAGAGACTGCTTCTCCCTCTGCCTATGTCTCTGCCTCTCTCTGTGTCTCTCATGAATAAATAAATAAAACCATGAGGCGCAAAGCTTGGTCTCATGGTCACTTTTTCACATAATTACCTAAGGCTACCTGCAATATTAACTCCTTACTCAGAATAAAATCTTCAATATATTCTAACTCCAAGCTTTTTGGTAGGAAACTTTTCATACATACAAAAAAATTGAAAGAATAGGTCAATAAAACTTCCTATACACCTGCCTATGCTCTCACGTACATGCTGCTATGTATGTTTCACCGATTTCTCTGTCTTTTCTAGTAGAAGTAACTGATTCTTTAGAAAAGAATCTGGAGATCATCGTAACACTTCATCCTAAATACTTTACCAACCAGTGCCAGGATCCTAGTTTTCAATACCAGCATACTAATAAAGGAACAGAGATGCAAAACTTCCAAGGGGACATAAAAAATTTTTTTAAGTTGTTTTTTCCCCACACACAGATTAATGAAAATACAAGTAACATCTGAAATCCCAATAATCTACAAAGTTAATTAACCCTGGAGTGTTAGCTTACTGAGACCGTAAGAGTAGTCTGATTAACAACATGATTATCAAAAGAAATCAGGATAGCTCAGACTCACTACCTCCCATGCTTGATGACTGCTCCTTCGCAGGAAAGACCACGTCTCCGGTACTTACCTAAGGGCAGCAGCATGGTATGTGTCAACGTAATCAGAAATGAAGAGCTCTCGGTTCTTGATAACTGGGTCTGTAATGACAAGTTCTCTTCCAGAGTCTGTCAAAATAATTAATTAAGAGTATATTAAAATTGAGCCTCCCAAAACAATTAGGAAAAGTTTGCAAAACCTTTCTTTCACGTTCACCTGCCACTAAAGAAAGTACAATAAATAACCAGGTCTGGTCAGGAGGAATAACAATAGGAACAAAGTATGCCACTGAGTGTGTTTTATGCCCTTTACTAAAGTCCTCACATTTTGCTGAAATGCTTTAAGAAATAAAAAAAGAAGAAAGAAGAAAACAATCACATTTTAACACACTTCTGAACTACTGAAATAGTGATTCTGTCCATTTTAATTTCTTATTGCTAAATATTCCAGGATGGAGTGAAATCATACTGTTTCTGTTGAAAATATATAACCAAGTTACTATTTTTAATTAGGAACCATAATTTAACTATTTTAACAGAAATTTTTATAGTTTCAAAGAAGCAAAAAACTAGTGATTACAAAAGAACATCATTCTTTAAAATTGTTTTGATTACTGCTTTTTTGACTCAAAACCCATTACCAAAAACAGTGGAGATGAGTGGGCAGACTACAGACATCAGGGCTGACCAAGCTGAATTCTGGCCAGGCTGGGACCACTTAGTAGACATGTCACCTGGCAACTCCTTGAGCATCTCTACCGCCTCAATTTCCTCACCTGAAAGTGGGCAGTGACAAACTCTAACTCATATGATTAATGGGTAACAAATGTGAATCAGCTAGCATGAGGCCCAGTGCCGCTCAAAAAAAAAAAAAAATCAATAAAAATGCACGATTATACAACTAAACAAATGCAATACACATTTTATGTGCATATCTCACATGTTGATAAAATTAGGTAGAAACTACAATGCCAGAGCAAGAAAAAAATAAAAGATGCTCTGAATTACCTTCCTGATTATTGTGAAAGTCAAGATGCAAATTGAATCCCAAGTCCCTCAGGAAAGCTATGCTTTCAAAACTGAAGTTCACAGCCCTGAATGCAGAAGTGCAATCATACAGATTATTGAAAAGGAAAAAATAAATAAATAAAATGTAACCCTAGTGTTTTAAGTATTATTAGCTCATCATTAGGGGAGAAAAAGTAATTTAAAAAATGAAATTACCGTTATTTTCAAAGAAGACCTATCTCTATTCCAAGTTTAAGGGGAAGATGTTATTGGCACATCTCTCTGGTTGTTTGGGGTATTTTAAGGCAAAAATAATGAAAGAACTCAGCAAAAGTAAATAAACATTCCTATAATTTCCTTGGTTATGAAAAGCTTTTTTAGAGACAACTTTTAGAGACAATTTTTCATAGTGGTCATCTCCATTTAATGAATGTTTTCAGAAACAGCCTTGTCCAAAGCTAACAAGAAAATGTAAAAATCAAACCAGGACATATTTACCATTTTCATTATGCCGATCCTGAACCAAATGCTGGTACACAGAATCTGGAACTTCAGACTGACGGTAGTACCATTTCACGTTCATGAGTAGATGGTCCCTCTTACTCTGAAAAGGAAAATCTAACAGCATTAGGAACAGGATTTCGGGTGCCACTGGTGTATACCATACCCATGATCAAAAGCCCCTGTAAACAGGTGGAGAGGCAGAGAGGGAGACTCACAATTACTATAAGGACCACAAAAATACATTAAGTCAATGATGAGGTCAAAGGTGTTTTTAATCCCAGCCAGAGCACCCTCTAACCCTATCACTCAAAATGCTTTATTCCAGGAAACCAAAAGAGACGAAGCTTGAGCCTATAAATCTCCTCAGTTTAACCAATTCATTCACTATTATATTCTTTATTTAGCATTAACTACACAAAACTACATGAGCACATCCTTCTATCTTAATTCTTAATCATTCTGGTAAAGAGTTATAAATTTTGTCAGCGCAGTGTCAAGGCCATTGAGGACATTGTTAGAAAAAACTTACCCTGCAAGGCCTGGCACAAAGTCATCTCTCTGAGATGCGCCAATCTCCCAGACTGAACTACATCCCCCTCCGTGGTACTGCCACCTGACTTGCAGTAATTGCTACATGGTAAACTAACATACAAACTGTGGGTAGCGGTAAAGGTACTAGCAGTCCATGGAGCAGATTCTACTTTAGTCATCTTTGAATTTCCAGAGAATGGAACAATGTGTTCATAAATATTTATGAATACTAAAGTTCTATTATGATCACGGGCCCCTAAATGTTTGTGGAACACTTAGTCATGTTATCCTCAGAAGCTAACTTTGCTCCTAGAGCTCATTCAAGAATAAAGGAGGAAATACTGCCTTTCTAGTTGAAGGCTATGGGGCCACAGCCTGTAGGAGATTGTGTCTGTGCACTTGGCTGTGAGATAGCTGAATATGGCAGTGTACTAGGGCTTCCATCGCCTCATAATATAATTTCTAACCCAAGTGAGGGCCTTAAGAGACCTCCCCAAGGTTAATGCAATATCATTCATTCCTCTTAGCTGCATCTACCTTCTCATCACAAGTCAGCAGGTGAGTCAGAAATAAATGAGAGCTAAAATTCAAAACCCGCTTTATGTTTATGGAGATGATCAAGTCCTAAAATATGTCAAAGGAGACTTCTTTATGAAGTAAGATGCTTTCTGCTTAAATGAGAGGTATGTATATGGTCTTCACTTAAATACCAGAAAGCCTCCCCCCCCCCAAAAAAAAAACCAACATAAAAACCTTCACTGAAATACTTAAGCCATTTAAATGACTAGAAATAAAAGAATCGCCAGAAGTCTTGATAAACTCAAATGTGAAGAAGTGCTATTCCAATGTGAATATCAACACCAGGGTCTGTACTTTATAATTAACTGTGTCAGACAAGCCTACAAAAACAGGGCATCATTACTGGTTTGCATAAAACAGACTGTACACAAAGAATAAACTTACATACCGGGTACTTTTTAGTTTTTATCCGTTTTGCATTTTTATATTCTACACTTTTATACTAAAGATGAGAAAATGAGGATAAATCAGTGTTAACATAAAAAGTATAAATGTCACATGCAAGAGTTTATACACAAGAGCAATTAATTACTCCCTGCAGAGAGAATTGTGAAGAAGGTAACAACTGACCGGGGGCGGGGGAATGGGAAAGACCTGAGGAAGCCACAAAGAGAGAGAAAGGAGAGAGGAAGCACTAGACATTCCTACGGTCCACCTAAAACATGTCTCCACACATTGCCAAACGTTCCAAAGGGGCAAAATTACCACCCAGATGAAAATCAATAATCCAAGAGTTTCCTTTATAAAGAGAGCTAATGAGAATAAAACCTAGTTTAAGCACAATCGGAAGGGAACATGGAATGTAGTAGGTAAGAACATGGTAACGTCTGTCAGAAGTTGGGTTTAAACCCCATCTTCACCACTTCCTAGCTATATGATTACCTGTTACGGGCATGTTAATAAGATATTCCATCTCCTCTTTTCTATAAAATGGGAATATTGAAACCTATATTGACTGACTGAAAGAACGAAGGCTGGAAAAGCATCTGGAACTGAGTCAATAATACTCAAAAGAGTAGTGTCTTCTGTTAGTAGGTGACCATAAACAGTGCTTCACAGAAAAAATTCAGGAACTTTGTTGAGAATCATAGGAGTTATATCTTTATGAGAATATGGCTTCTTTCAAGAGATGACAGAGATCTCCAGTTCCTTAACTACTAACGGATGTCTCAGTTCTCACAGTAATGAACTACTTGTAAGTATTTAATGGAGCCCAAAGGAATTCAGATCTACTAGCAGACTTAGCAACAATGCTCTGAAATCTATACTTCTATATATTTTTTAAACACATCTAAGATGTCGGAAAACCTGAGAGGCAACAGAAATAAGCTTTTAAAAGTAGCATAATTGGCAACCATACAATGTCTATTTTTCAGAACCAAGCCAACAATTCTGATGACCTTTGGAGGTTTAATCTGTGTTAACTTCTGACTCTAGCACACTTAATGATCACACACACACACACACACACACACACACACACACACACAGAAAATTACTGCACTGGTTTATTCGTACCTAGATTTATGATTCCTAATACAAGAAGCAGTTACAAAGGCAGTTTGAAAGCCTATCAGATTTCCTAATGCAGTACTACCTAATCACCAAGAAGTGGCAGCATTACATTAAAAAAAAGGGCCTCCAGACTTAATTCCGGTTACAAAAGAACAAAAGGTATGTAGGTTCAAAGTAAACAAAAGTTTTAAACAAGCATAAGAGCTGTAACAGATATAATCTTCCTAAAAAGGCCTGGAAATTATTAAACATCTATAAAAGGAGGCAATGTGCTGTTTCAGAGGGTACCAGACTAAAATAATCTAGCCTCCTAGTCCTGTCTGCAATCAACTAGTTAGCTGGGGACAACCTTTGAGGAGTCACCTGGCCATCTAACAAAGAGGAGAACAGGATTTCTAGGGTCGCATTCCATTTTGTATGCTTACATCTAGAGTTCTTCCCCAGACAAATCTAGTAGATAAAGTGGGGTCAACATAATATTATCAGCTCACATTACCACTCTAAAGAGGTTTTACAAATCAAAACACCTTCCCTGGAAGCTGCTGTGCACTGAGGAACAGCAAAAGGAAACACAGCATAGCCCTTCTCAGTAAATGCTCCAAATGCCACCTAAGACACACCTGTGCTGCTCAACATTAACCACAGGATAGCTTCGTGTTCTTCCCACTACCCATTAGACAAAGATTTCTGTTCAGAATCACAGAAAATTGAAAGCAAAAGTGAACTTAGCGATCATTTGATTTAGTCCAAACCACCTAAGTATGAATCAGAGTTTTGCAACTGATTTGGGCAAATGACTTCTCCAAGTCTCACTTCTCTCATACGTACATAGAGGGGAAATAATATTCTCTACCACATTCAGTTGTGAGGATTAAATAAATGAATATGAGTGGAATGAATTGGCTTTCAAAGTACTAGATATTACTATCAGTTTTACGGATGCAGACAGGAATCAAGCTATAAGAGCTTTACTTACATATTTTGCTTTTCTGTAGTTTCAAAATTAAACCAGTAAGAGCAATACAAAAACAAATCATATAGCTAAGTAGAGGGTGGGGGTAGGATCCACTTTTGCAACAATTTGAGAAACATATCAAGTATTTTTAACAAATAGGCCTCATTACCGACTAGTGATATAACTGTACAATTCCATAAAGGCCAAAGTGGTTATAAATGACACATTTTAAATAGAATGCTGAATGAAGAGAGAAGTGGTGAAAGTTTCCCATGTGGAGACACTCTGGGGTATATCTCTGGATACAGAGAAGAACCGACTGAGCAGTAAATAATTCCCCACCATTTTACCTTCAGAGAGAGAAAGACCTGACTCTACAAGTACCGGAAAGCACCAGCACTAAGAAAGAACCACCACACAGGAGTACCTCCAAGTGCACAGAGTAAGGTTTCCCAGGGTGACTGTGCAAACAGGGAGAGCAGCTGATTCTGGGTTTAGGGATTCTTCCACCACCTGGATCTCTCTGAAAGGAGGGATATGTGTAAATTTAAGGAAATAGTTTAATTGAGGACAAAACCCATCCCTACCTGGGTTTAAAGACAAACAGTCTAATATTGGGTGTTTGGGAACAAACAGGAGGATTTACAGAACTATAAGTGTCAGACAATGGACTGAAAATTAATGAACTAAAAAGTCAGAACTGAAATTAAACATTCATGATGAGACAGGGGAAAGGCAGATGAGGGGAAAGGGAAAGCAAACAGGAGGCTGCCTGTTGAAGGGACTAGAGCTCGACCATCCCAAATAAACATAAGATCCAGGCCAGGGAGTAAATTCCCCTTCCTAGAGATCTTTCATGATTATTAATATAGCACTTCCATTGATTAAACAGCCAATTTGAATCTTTCCTAGGACCAGTCTTGATATCATCTAGGAAAAAAAAATATTAACATGAAAAAATAAATGACGGGCGCGGGGCTTCAGTTCATAAATGACCAATAAACCAACTGCAGATTCTCTTATACAATGTGGAGGAGCCCTCCAACCCAGGATGGGAAAAACAGTAATTTTAAGTTCACCAGCATTATACAGGAAAGACCCTCTTTGTCCCATCAATTACCTACCAGGTCCTAGAAAATACCATCAGGGTTCCCAAAGCCCTCCAAACAAGCCCTGCTATCCCTCCACCGTTATTAAATATGACAGAGGGGTCAGGCCAAAGACAACTAAGCAAGATATAAAGAGTGGCACCATCAAATAAAAAAGTTTGCAAAGTCAAAATAATCTGCTACAGATAATGACTGAGGAATTTCCTTCAAATTTTTAACTGTTTAGTTCTTGAGAGCTTGAATTTTAAATAATGGAAGATCTAAATTCAGAGTCTGGGGAAATCAGACCAAAATTCTTGTTTTCTAAAGCCAAAAGAGCCAATCAAGTTTTTCCAGAAATTTGGGAAGTAGGAACTAATATTTTTATACTACTATATGGCTTAAGAAAATATCTTTTGAAGAAACTTTTCA